ATTAAAAAAAAAAATCAAAAATATGTAAGAATGTAAGACACAGAGTTGTCCAACTCACCCCAACCTGGACTGGTGCAAATTGAGCCCCATGATCGCTTGCTTTACTCCATTGCCTCTTTCGAACGCGATAAAATAAGGCGAACCCTACACAGAGGGCTGCGTTCAACAGCATTAGTGAAGTTGTGGCAGCCACAAGAGACGATTGGGGTGTGCAGTCAGCGCTCTCCACCGGGCCTGGTCATCATGAGAATCGGAATATCGTTTAATTGCGTTGCCGAGATAGCAGTTATAAAGACAATGAGAGAAATGTGGAGGGAAAATGAAAACTGCGGTACAAGATTGCGTCACTCACTCGCGCTCACGTCCGATCCCTGTTGTATAACACTCGCAGGCCTTCCCCCGTCCAGGATAGGCGTGGAACCAGGGCCAAGGTTTGCGTTCTTCTTGGGGGTGGCGGGCTTGGGGAGCGAGTCCTCGCCCACGACGAGCTGCGGGGCACAAATAACGCAGGATATGATCAAAACAATTTCCCGTTGTACCACAGTATGCCACTCTCGCTTTCACCGGGGACGACGACGATGACGCCAGGCCATCTAGTGAGCCTCGGGCACTAATTAGACGTCGAACAGACGTCGATTTAGATGCTCATGGTAAAAAAAAGTTCAATCGACGTCACTTCGACTTTCGGCGTTTTATTGACGCCCCACCGACGTCAACGTTTTCTTTTGATAGTTACCCTGAGCTGCAAGGGGAGTTCTCCCGGCAGGTCGGCCTCGGGCTTAGCCGTTGTCGTCGTGGTTGTTGGTGTTGTCGTCGACGAGGCGGACGACGGGGTCGTCGTGGAGGCCGTGCGCGCGGTACTGGAGGCCGAGGGCGCGGTCGCGACTGTGACGGACTCGGGCGCATTCGTTGTGGAGGCCGCCGACGTGGAGGCCATGGCGGTGGTCTGCGGCGCCAGGGTCGAGCTGGTCGTCGTGGTGCTCGGCGTCGACGAGGAGTGGATGGGCGAGGACGTCGTGGAGCTCTCGTTCAGCTGGACGAGGGCGAGAGGGGCCGGTCGACCCTCCTGGACGACGGCCTCGGACACGTCCTCGATGACGGCGGAGTCGTTGGCCGAGCGCCGACGCCGCTTGCCGAACGAGTGCACCCCGTTGTAGCAGCGAATCTGAAGGGAGTCAGGATCAAAAGGTCAGTGAGAATGCCTACGGTCAGAGGGAGGGGTGAGCGGCAGCGTCGTGTAACCTACCGGCTCGCAGATGTCTTGGCAGAACTGGACCGTGGCCACGAAGTTGACGGTGGCCGTGGACGGGAAGCGGAACGCCTTGAAGTCCGCGAACAAGTCGCGACTGCCACGCTCCACTTGGAGCGCCGGGAAGATGATGGGGTCCCGGGGGCAGCCCACGTTGTCGATGAGGGTGAGTAGCTCGCCGTTGTCCGTGCGCGCCTCCAGGTTGCGCGCGAAGATGCCGAACGCGCTCGTGGGGTCGATCTCGACGCGGAGCTGCAGCTCCTCCCCGAGGCCGACGACGGCGGCCTCCTGGCCGGCGCGGGTCACGATGCGCATGCGCACGTTGGGCGTGGGCGCCGTGTTCGTCACGATGTTGGCTCCGGACGGTCGGAACGGAACACTGCGGAATGTTGTCGTGAGTTTGAGATTTTCAGAAAAATTTGAAACTTTTCCAGAAAAAGAAAATGAAATACTTCCATTTAGTTTTGGAAAAAGATGAAACTTTTATGGAATTTTTTTAGACATTGTTCAAACAAATTCTTGAAAAATCTCTCAAAAGTCCCTATTCTGGAAAATTTAAATCCCTGCCTGTCTGAGATACACTCACGTGACGGAGATGCCGCCGCCCTCCTGGTCGCGCGTCCCGGAAGGCGCGTACGACACGGTCTGGTCGCTGGCGTCGAACGAGCACTCGACGCGCACCGTCTTGTCCGTCTCCTGCATGATGACCGGGTTCTGCTGGATCACTACATGGTTCACGTACCGACCGCGGCCCTGGGAGAAAGATAGAGAGAAGTGTTATCACTACCGCATTGACGCACGAAAATAGAGACAACTTTCAATGCACTTTTCCACAAAGAAAATTTTCTATTTTTAAGTGATTTTTTTTTTGTTCTTGCAGGGAAAACTTAAAACTTTTTTCAACTTTTGTTTTTATTTTTTTGGCCAACTTTTTTCTCTAACCCTTTTCAACCTTTTTTCCAACTTTTTTCTCAATATTTTTAATTTTTTGCTTTTGTTTTTGCCTTACCTGCTGCACGGTGCCGCACTGCGTGCCCATGGGGATGCGCAGGACGAGCTGCGCCTGGCCGCTGCCCATCTCGAAGCACGCCTGCGGGTTGCCCGTGGCGTACACCCGGCCCTCGAACGGCGCCCCGAACAGGAACGTGATGAGCATGTCGGACTGGGTGCAGTCCACGCGCACTGCAGGGTGGGAAAAGCTTGTCGTCAGTCTCTCGCGCGCGGGAGAATTCGAAAAATTTGAACTAAAGCTCTAGCTGTTGTTGTTTACATCAAGCGCATTCGGCATGCAAGCAAACTAAACTAAGACAAAAAGCTTTTGACTTACCGTTGTGAGAGGGCAGGCCGCATTCCACATGGCATTTACCTTACATTTCACTGTGTTTCGCTCTTCGGACGTGCGGCTGACACGCTGCTTTCCAACTGCAGCGACTGCGTGTTCTACGTTCGCACTCTCACCGTATATGTGCGGGGCATGCTTTTTCAAATTTTTCGTCCCGAAGGAGAAAATCTCAACTACGTTTTTTTGCTACTGCTATATTTTACAAAGCTTCTACTTTTACTGACAAAAACTACAAAGCGATCCCGCGACGCACCACCTTACTGTCGGCATGCATGAGGCCCATGGGGTGCCCCCGTGGTCACGTGGTTCCCTCTCGATGACTAGTCCCCCCCATCCAGCCTGCTCCAATAGTCGTGACTAACGAAACTTAACTTCTGCGGGTGTTCGCACCGTGGCTTCACTCATTCGTCTTTTCCTGAAATGTTTTTACTGAACTCGATTGTGTCAAGATTATGAAGCAGAATCGGTTTGTACCCCAGTAAGTTCTTTTCCAGTGTGGTGTGTCGTGTTTTTTTGTGTGTTTGTGGTGGTCCGAGGGACAGGGTTGGCCGCATCCATAGTCGTGACTACTAGCAGGACTCCCCGTGGAAAACGTTACAAGGTTGTAAGCAAAGGATTTCTAGTTTCCGTGATGTTTGATGGAAACAATCGGGGAATTCCTGTTAGAAAATTGCAGCGCCTATTGGAGGATCTCCTAGGGCGCTACGACTATGCATGCGGCGATGCTTTTCGCTTTTGTTCGACATCCCAATTTCTTTTAAGGCATTTAAAGCTATAGCCTTTGGGGGGGTTTAGGGGAGGATGGAGGATGCGTTTAGCAAATGTGGCTCATGCCTGTAACGCTCCTGAAAGTTGCGTACACTGTTCAGAATTTTTTTCTAGGCCAAAACATAAATACTATTGACTGTTCTCTGAGGAGGTCTGGTGCGAGCTCATGATAGTCACGACTATGGACATAGCGGCGGCTGCGTCGCCGCGCTGCACCTCCGACCCCAAGTTTACTTTCCAAAACAGTAAAAAAATAAAATGAAAAAAAAGGCAAAATTGGTGGCCTTGCACAAGACCGACGCATGCTATTAACTTTTTCCGTTCAAATGAGGCAGGCAGGAGGTCAGTCTACGGCGACGCAAGTGAGGTATCATCGTCGTCGAAAGAAAAACACCTTCAAAAAACGCAAGTAAGCTATCGTATAAAAAAACAGAGTCCTACTTTATTTCTGCCAACTCTCGGTACAAAAAGCAGTGCGGGCCCCAAGGCTCTTTACGGTGTGAAGTAATTGTATAAAAAAGAAATCATTCAGCCCTTATTCTCTATCCCCATGGCCAGCCCCATTGCCAAAACCAATGACCTTGTCTGGGGGGAGAGTGGGGGTCGTAGTGGACAGGGGTGGGGGACGCGGACGGGTAGGTGGAGGGACCGGGTGACGGGTATGAGGGTGCCGAGGGTTGGGCGGAAGGCCAGGCGGTGCCAGTCGGTGACGGGTATGGGGAGGGTGACGGGGAGGCGGAGGATGGCCAGGCGGAGCCGCTCGGGGGCGGGTATGGGGAGGGGGAGGGGTAGGCCGAGTGGTAGGGGGCGGAGGGGGACGGCGAGGGGTAGAGGGGAGGAGACCGCGAGGGGTAGGAGGGGAAGGGAGGGGCCGAGGGCCGGCCGTGAAACGCACCGTTGCTGCAGGACCCGCGCTCGCTGTAGTAGAAGTCCCGGTCCAGCATGAGGGCCGCGCGGTCCGCCGCGAACGTGTCGTCCGAGGACAAGAAGCAGTCCCTGCCGGATCAGAAACCAGAGAGCGCGGCGGTCAGCCTGACGGGCGCGGGGTAGGCAACCCCGCTGCGCACTCGCGCGCACCGGGTGGCCTACCCGACGATCGGCGGGCGCCCCGAGACCGACCAACCCCCGTGTAGTAGCGTACCTGCGGACAGCGTGGAAGTTGAAGGACCTGCACTGGAACTCGCGCTCCTGGTCGCAGAGGCGCTTGCACTCGTTCACGTCGAAGGTCCTCGCCACGTAGCGGTCCGTGTATGGCAGGAAGCGTCCCGGGGAGTCCGAGTACTCGCAGTTGGGCGGCTCTGCGTCCGAGTATAATGCAGGTTATAAGAAAAGGGCCGTCGGCCAGTCCGAAAATTTTCCGGAAAAATTCACAACTTTTCCAGAAAAAAATGAAAAAATAAATAAAATACTTCCAGCAAAGTGAAAAAATTTGAAGAAATCTCTTGAAAATTTCCTATATGCACTTTTCTGGAAAATTAAAATATCAAATACTGTGTTAGACGAATGCAGCTGGACTTACGGGGCGCGCACTCGTTCTCCATGTAGTCCACGTCGGGCGTGGCCCTGCGGAAGGTGTGCGGCTGCGTGCGCCGGGTCTCGGGGCTCAGCTTGCACAGCTGGTCCCTCGCGTAGTACGTGGCCGACCTGCAGACGACCCGCGTGGCGCGCAGGCACTCGTCCTGGCACTGCCGCCGGCTGAAGATGTTCCGCACCTCGATGGAGTTGGTGCCGACCAGCTCGTAGCTCGGCACCCGGTTGAACACCCACGCCTTCGGGCAGGGGCGTTCTGCGAAGAGGACACGGCGAAACAGAGGTGTGCGTCAGGAACGACTCTGGAGGGTGTTTTAGAAGGTGTCTCGGGTGGTGTTCGGTGTGCGGGAAGGTGTTCGGTGTTCAGGAAGGTGTTCTGGAGGGTGTTCTGGAGCGCAGCTCACCTTGCAGGCAGATCTTCTGGAAGAAGGCGAGGTCGGGCGCGGCGGCCAGCGGCGCGGCCTCGGCGTCCGACGAGCGGTCGAGCGAGTAGCAGCGCTGGCGGCCGCCGCGGACGTTCTCGAGGCTGACGGCCAGGCAGCGCTCCCGCTGCTGCGCGCACTCCACCAGGCACTCGCCCGAGATGCCGATGTCGGCGCGCGTCCGGATGGCGTCCCGGCGCGCGGGCGTGTAGGTCGCGCCCGCCACCTTCTCGTACGACAGCGTGCCCCTGCACGGGTACGGGTTGAGGACGGGGTCGGGCGCGCCCGGCTTGGGCGAGAAGGGGCTGGGGCTGCCGGCGGGCCCCGCGGCGCCGCCCGGCCCGGTGGAGAAGCCCGTGCCCGTGCCGAAGCCCGTGCCGAAGCCGCCGCCGGTCGAGGTGCCCGTCGGGAAGGCGCCCTGGAAGTTGCGGTCCGGCGCCGGCGCGAGCGGCGGGTAGGGCGACGGCGAGGGGAAGGCGCCCGGTGGGTACGCGCCCGCGTACGGCCCGGGCGAGCCCGCCGGGTACACGCCCGTCGGGTAGGGCGTCACCGACACGGCGCCGCCAGCTGCAAAGCAGAAACACCCGGGGGTTCACGTCGTGGACTAGGCCGACATCAGAAAGGGTGTGACGTCCCCGTGAGCTCCGCTTACCGTGTCGTCCCGGGAGCAGCGGGAAGGACGGGTAGCCGCCCGGGCGCGGGTAGAAGGCGCCCGCCGTCGGCGGGACGGGCGACGAGCTGGGCCCCAGGCTCGGGCCGAGGGTCGGGCCGATGGTGGGGCCGAACGTCGGGCCGAACGTGGGGCCGAAGCCCATGCCCGGCGCCGTGGGGTTGAGGAGGGGCAGCCCGGTGCACTCCCGCTCCGCGTAGAGAGCGCCGCTCTGCGCCTGGTACGCCGTGCTGTCCATGGACGAGCCCAGGCTGCCGCTCAGCAGGCACTGGTGCGAGCTCTGCCCCGTCTGAACACGCCCGTCGTTAGTGCGATAGTACGACAGGTTTTGTTTGTAAAGAGTGGTTTCTTATGGTGAGTGTGGCGGTTACCGTGCTGAGGAAGGTGTACGAGCGGCACAGGAACTCCCGCTCCACGTCGCAGGCGTGCTGACAGCTCGAGTCGCTGAACGTGGACAGGGCCTTGTCGGTGTACACGAGCTGGCGGTCGCGCTGCTGGTTGCGGTACACGCACCGCTCCAGAGCTGTTCGGGCACACACACACACACACACGAGCACGCCGTCAGATGTGGTGGTCACCGAGGGGGTACAGTACCTTCACGTAGAGGGACTCACGGGCGGCGAGCGAGGCGCACTGGTTCTCCAAGTAGTCGGCCTCGGACGAGGGGAGGAAGGCGTGCGGCTGGGTGTGCCTGTCCTCGGTGCTCATGCGGCACTCCTGGCGCCGGTAGTTGTAGGTGGCGGAGCGGCACAGGAAGGTGCGCTCGTCGGCGCACCGCTCCTCGCACTCGGTCTTGCTCAGCCCCGGGATCATGACGCGGTCGTAGCCGCGCAGCTCGAAGTTGATGTGGCGCTCGTAGGTCCACGCCAGGCCGCAGCCGCCGCCTGCGCGTGAAAAGGGTATTCCCATGAAAAAGGTATCCCCGTGAAAAGGGTATCCTCGAGGAAAAGGTATCCCCGTAAAAAAGCACCCCACTTCAATTCAATGGTGCGGGTGGGAATTATCATAGCCGAAATTTATCCAGAAAAAAAAATCGGAAAAATTTGAAATAATTTCAGAAAAAATTGATAAAAATAGACTTTCAAAGAAAACGTTGTTGAAAATTTTTCAAAAAATTATTTCTATTGTAAATTTAAGTTTCTAGGCGCGGGTTTTGTGTTGTACTGACCGCGCAGGCAGATGGCCTCGAAGTAGGCGACGCCGGGCACGGGTCTCAGGTCTAGGCGCTGGCGCGTGGCGCTGGGCTCGCCCTCCAGGGCCGTGCACTCGGAGCGCGCGTAGTCCAGGTTGAAGGCGCCGCAGCGCGGGTCGGAGCGGCACAGCTGCGCGCACTGCACGGCCACGCCGGGCGTCGTGTCGCGCTCCAGGTTGTAGGCGCGGCCCGCGGCCAGCTCGAAGCCCGCCACCTTCTCGAACTCGGGCCGCCCGCCTCCGGGGCACCGGCCATCTGCGGGTGCACGACGAGTACCCCGGGTCAGCGGGGGAGGCCCGACCACCCGTGGGCATCGAGGTCGTATCGACGTCGCCCGTACGCCACATTGACGGCGTGGCCTTGGTTATAGCCGAAATCTTTGACTCGAATCGTCGTACTGACCATGTCGTGTTTGAACAAGCAGCACACATGGTCAATCAGATTTATGATTTTTACATCTGATGAGTAAAAGTACAAGTCAAAATTTCGACCAGATATTAATTTTTTTAAATATTTTTTTGTCCTAAGGCCCCCAATGTGTTGTTGGTGACATCGATATGACCTCTTGTTTGCGATATTGGAGGCGATGATACGTTGGGCAGGCCCGTGAACTATACCACCATGCTCCAAACAAGCAGCAAGCCGTACCTCAGTCAGAAATATAATTTGAAACTTCGACGTCAGAAATGACATTTCAGCTGAAATGCAAACCAACTTTCTTTGTATTCCGATTGAAATTTCATACTTTGACGCCCATTTAAAATTGTGGAAACATTTCTGACTGAGGTGGTTCCAGCTCTGTTCATCACCGTGAGAGGGCTAGAGATAGCAATAGACGAAGCTATACGTGCGGCAATTTTGCTGCGTCTCCCGGATGACACGGTGATGGTTATGTGACAACGCTTTATGCAATTGATATGCTCTCGTTATTTCATTCCTTACATCTACTCGCTCAAGCGTATACTGGTGACTACAACGTTTGGACCTCATTCGACTACGGCTACGGTAGAAGTCTACACAACAAAGCCATACCGTCACTTAACCGAAACGCAGATTTTTAACATCTTTTATCGCACACGATATTCGACGAGAAGAATCTGCGTCTTCGTGAGGTGACAAAAACCTTGCTACTGAGGGTTTCCTTAGTCATGCTGCTCATGGACCGTGCGCTCCGACTACATTCCCGTCAAACCAAAAGAATAAAAAATAAAATAAAAAGAAACTACTTGCTACACTACACTTCACCGTAACTACGTTTTCCTCTAAACAAAGTGCGGGTGGACATGCCGATATATAGATTTGATGGAGTCTTACTGGCGACGCCGACGAGCTCTGGCTGACCCGCTCTGCTGAAGATTGTACCTGAGGGATCGCCGGGCAGGGGTCTACCGGGCAGCGCGGGGCCGAAGCCCGGCAGGTTGCCGATGATCCCCCCGGGCCCGCCGTGGGCGCCGGGGATCGGGTGCCCTCCCGGCCCCGTGTGGTGGCAGTTACGCTCCAGGTAGTTGGTGCCCGGCCGGCTCATGAGCGCCTCAGGGCCCGCCGACGCTGCAAGTGTAGAAAGTAAAGTCAGTGTATGGTGAATGTATCCCCTACATGCTGGTGGGGGGTAACTTTATCATAATCCGTGAAAAAGTTGGAGGGTCGTTCCCATAGCACGTGACCTATAGTGCCTATAGGGGGAGACAAGTATGATTGGGTTCCAGGACAGAACCATCTGGCAACGGGGACTCCATGATATTTGTGCCCCGGGCTAAAACTATCATTGGGTCCCAAAAGGATCGGGAGCATTATCGGAGTACATAGGGACCCCCATGATATTTGAACCCCCGGGGGGTAAAAGAAAATCATAGTCCAAATTCCACTGACCTCTGTCGTCGCCGCTGATGAAGCACTGCGAGCCGCTGGGGTAGTACGAGTACGAGCGGCAGATGAAGTCCGTGTACGAGTAGCAGCGGCGCTCGCAGTCGCGCTCGTCCGCCACGAGCGGCAACACGAGGTCCAGGTAGCGCGGGTACGAGTTGGCCACCGACTCGAACGTGCAGCGGGGGTCGGCTGCAAGGCAAGTCAGTCAGGAATTTCAATTTTTCAAAAAAAGTATGGCTAGAATTTTTTTCTAGAATTATCTAATTTTTTTTAAAGAATCTTTCCTTTATTAAAACTTTTCTGGAACCATTCCGAATTTTTCCAATTTTTTTCTGGAATAGTTTGAAATTGTTCCGTGAAAATCTCTACTCACGCGACAGGCACTGGTTCTCGAGGTACTCGACGTTGGCCGGCGCGTCCACGTACTCGGAGGGCCGGGTGCGCCGGTCCTCGGAGCTGAGCCTGCACTCGGCCGTCTGCGAGTCGTACTCGGCCGAGCGGCAGTCGAAGCGGCGCTCGGCGAGGCACGCCTCCAGGCAGTCGCGCCTCGTCTGCACGAGCGGCAGCTTGACGTCGTCCAGGCCGCGCAGCTCCTTGCCCGGGCGGCGCTCGAAGGCCCAGGCGCGGCCCACGCAGCCGCGCACGTTGCCGCGCAGGCAGATCTTCTCGAAGTACGTCTGGCCCTCGCGCGGCGACAGCTCCGACCCGCGGCCCTATGCGTCGAGGAATTTTCGTAAAAATGTCTGAATTTTTTTTCTGACAACTTCAACTTTTTTCAAACTTTTCTAGAAATTTTTCAATTTTTCTAAATTTTTCTGGACATGTTAGAAAGTTTTTCCAAGTCTTTCTGGAAAAGTTTCAGCCGTCCCTGGAAACATTTTCCAACTTTTCCTGGAAACATTTTCCAACTTTTCCTGGAAACATTTTCCAATTTTTCCTGGAATTATTTTTATTATTCCCTGGAAAATTTTCCCATTTATATATACCTGCGTGTTGCGGTCCAGCTTGAAGCACTTCATGGCCGCGTAGTCGAGCGAGAAGGCCGGGCAGTCGGAGCCCGCCTCGAGGCAGCGCGCCCCGCACTCCAGGGTCACCCCGGGCGAGGAGGCCATGGCCAGGCCGACCTGCTGCGCCGAGCGCAGGAAGTGGCCCGTCACCTTCTCGAACGTGAACAGGCCGTCGTCGCACTGGCTGATGCTGCACTGCTTCTCGGCGTACACGGCGCCGCGCTTGATGGCGAGCGGCGCGTTGCTCAGCGAGATGGAGTCGTCGCCGCTGAGGTAGCAGCGCTTCTCGTCGGCCGCGTAGGTGAAGGCGCGGCAGGTGAAGCCGCGCGCCTGGTCGCACAGCGCCTCGCACTCGGACTGGCTGGCGGCGAACTGCAGCTCGTCCATGGAGACCACGGAGAAGCCCGGGCGCACGTTGTACCGGCAGTCCGGCAGCGCTACAGTCAGTGAAAATAGTTTGAGTAAAATGCTATCCTCACGGCCATCTGGCTGTGTGGCCCTGCCAACCCGACGCATCCTCTAGAAAGCGAAAGAGCGCGTTTATGTTTTGAAGAAAACGTATACTATGCAGGTAAAAGATGGAGTAAATATAAGTAAAAAATTAAGTCAAAGACCGTGAGTAAAAAATCATGAGTAAAAAACACTATGAGTAGAATAACTGTGAGTAAAAAAAAAACAAACTATGAGTTAAAAAGTATGAGGAAAAAACTTAGACTAAAAGTGTGTACTTACAGCGCACGCACTGGTTCTCCAGGTAGTCCACGGCGCTGCCAGGCTGGCGGCGGAAGGCGCTCGGCTGACTCCGGCGGTCCTCCCTGCTGAGCCGGCAGATGTTCTGCGCCTCGTCGAACTCGGCCGAGCGGCAGGTGAAGGCCGTCTCGAACAGGCACAGCTTCTCGCACTCCGTCTTGGTCTGCACGTTGTGCTCCTCGCGGTCGTCGAAGCCGTCCAGAAAGGCGCCGACGACGCGCTCGAACGCCCACAGCCGGTCGCCGCACATGGCGTTCAGGTTCGACACTGGCGTGCGCGCAGAGAACCGGGTCATCATTCGTTTTATTCTGATTATTCTCTCATTCCGAATTTTTAAAAGTCGTTCGACTCACCTCCTCGCAGGCAAATCTTCTCAAAGTAGTTGCTCCCCAGGGCATCGTGCAGGCTCGACCGGTGTCCGCTGGAGTCGGCGCTGTACGACTGACATCTGGACGCCTCATAGTCTGAGGGAAATCAGGTGACATTAGTTATAAGCACAAAAAAAAACAACCTTATCAGCTTCCAAAGCTTTCGGGAAAAAAATTGATTTTAATTTCTCTGGCGCAGCAGGTATCGCAGGTGTGCGCGGTACTCACCGACGGTGAATCCTGCGCAGGTGGGAGTCTGCCTGCAGATGGCGGTGCAGTCGCGGGTGATGCCAGTGCCCGGCTGGGTCAGGATCCCCTGCGACGCCCCGAACAAGAACTTCACCCCCGTCGTCTTCTCGTAAGTCTCCGTGCCGCCAAAACATTGGCCTGTGCCCCCCCAAAAAATAATTTAAAAAAAACAACAAAAACACAGTGAACTCATCAAATTGAATCTTTTTACGGGAGGCTTGTTAGTAACTCTGGCTAGCTCTGATTCTCTCACCTTGTACTAATGATGACATTAAAATAGTATGTGATAGGTAAAGGACTAGTACATGCCAGCAATGGCTCCATATCTGAAACACAAATCGAAGGGTACCGTTAGTGCTCGGTCATTAAAATTAGAAAACGAGGATGAATGCCCTGGTTGCAGTGGTATATGAAACTAGAACGGACTAAAAAAAGGGAAGGAAATCTGCGGACAGGAAACACTCGGAACCAATCAGCGCGCTGGAAAACGCACAGCGCTGGTATTTGCACAAGCGAAAACGTCACTTTCTCCGGGCAATCACCTCCTCGCGTTTGACACTATCTGTGTTGGGCGAGAGGGGGGGGGGGGGCTCGTGACCATTGTACAGCTCCCATTGCACTGCTACAAAACCTTGGCCGTTTGGCCGTCCTATTGACGTCCGTCTGTTGTCGCATGCATACTTTTACCCTCACGAGCTATGAAACAGTTGTGTGTGGTTGTATCACAGGAAACCGGAAAAGATTATTAAAAAAAAAAAAATCGAGTTCACGTAAGCAACGCAAAAAAAAGAAAAAGGAGAATATTAAAGCATCGTAAAAAGAGGGAGGGGGGCGCAGCGACACGCAAAGCCATAAGCGAAAGTGGTGGGGGAGGTCCACTTGGGTCCCGTTAGTGTCGAAGCAACAGTCGCTCGCCGAGCTGAGCTGTCTAGCGGGCTGTCCAGCGGGTGAACACCTGCACACCTGGTGGGGGTGCTGACGTGGCCTTTAGTTCTGGCCGCATTTCATTTCGCTCGCTCTATCCTCACCTGTCTACCCCCCC